GACAATTGTCTACCCTGTCACCCCCTGGCTCCGCCCCTGGTCACAAACAACCCTTAATCCACATTGTTGGGTTAAGTGTGGTCACTTACAACACTTAACCCAACAGTCTGTTACACCGCGCCTGAATCTCTGTTCCAATAATTGGCATCAATGATTGAGATTCATAAATTTGAATGAAAACAAAGAGAGTTGGCAGTGGGAAATGCAGAGTGGCCCCATTTTTACCAATCACCCTGGAGCCAGTGCACAACAACGATAATCATAAAAAAAACTCCCAATCATTTATTCAGGAAAGCGTCACTGAGCCTCCAGAGTTGTTTTTTTGTTGTTGTCAGGAGGTTCCTGCTCACATTGGGTTTGGCATTGCGTGGCAGGGAAACCAGAGAGCCCATGGGGAAAATCCAACAGGCATGGGAGAGGTGGGGGACATTCAGCACTGCCATCTCCTGACCATGCCTCTCAGCCCCGCGCTTGCGGCCCCCGATAAACCCGAGCGGCAGTAATCCATCCAAGTACTAACCAGGCTCAACAACTGCTCGGCTTGCGGATTGCGATGAGATCGCAGTGTTGTGGTCGTAGGCGTAAGAGGGTCTCTGATTGAATCTCCCGTGTCACTCGCTAATTACGTCAGCTCAAGTTTAAAGAGAATACTCACTGGAAGTTGTGGTTTTTTTTACAAGCGCCCGATGCAGGTCAGTCAACCCAAAACACCTGCTTCTGTCCCGTGTGACCTTTACACCGAACCTTCACCAACCCCACGTGGCCTTGAACTTGCATGCACCTAGCTGGGCACAAGCTCAGCGGCCACTTTTCTTAATCGTGGGCCTCTCGTGCAGGGAATTAAATTGGAGCCTCCTCGCTGCCGGTCCGATTTTCCCCCTCTTCCTTCGTAGCCCGATTCCTTGGGCCCCCTCTGGCCCGTGCGGCCTGGTGCAGTTGCACCGCCTGCACCACTCAATGGCCACGCCACGGGGCTGGCCCCTTGTGCGCACCGCGGTGAAACGCGGGCGTTGTGGTAAACCGTGCAGCCAACCGGCAGCTTCGACTGCGGAGGTACAGTGAGGGAAAAAAAGTATTTGATTGCCAACAAGGGTTTTTGCCACCAAGTACTAAGTTATGTTTTGCAGAGGAGTCAAATACTTCTTTCCCTCATTAAAATGCAAATCAATTTATAGCATTTTTGACATGCGTTTTTCTGGATTTTTGTTGTTGTTATTCTGTCTCTCACTGTTCAAATAAACCTACCATTATAATTATAGACTGATCATTTCTGTGTCAGTGGGCAAACGTACAAAATGAGCAGGGGATCAAATACTTTTTTTCCCTCACTGTAAGCCTGCACCTGCCGGGGTGTTGAATAATTTAATGCTGAGCTGACCTAGATGAGTACAATTTATGTACCACGTGTTGTTTGTTAGCTGTATAGAATACCTTTCCCAATGAGCATTATTTATTATCATCATGATTCACAGCCATGAACTATCCACCGCTGGATGTCTCCATAGAATGATTCCCATAGGCTTGTCACAAAGTGGTGCATAGTTTATCGAGCTAATGGAGGTGATGGTGTCAGTCGACCCCCCCCCCCCCCCATCTCTAAATTAATTCAGACCTAGCTAATTAAATGTATTTAATGAAGCACCTGCCAGTAAATTGAAAGTGTTTTTTGTAATTTGTCAGTGGTGATATCTGAACTCGCCCTTTACCAACCTCACTGACCAGCATGGTGAAGTATGGTCTAACAACCCGAGATGGCATGGAGAGGTCTTCAGAAGTGGCTTAAGATGTATAATAATAAAACGTTATTTATCCAGGAAAGCCACATCGAGTCCATAAACCCATTTGCAGGAGGGTCCTGCTACGTTTTGGTTTTCTATTTGTAAGATGTTCTCAGCCAATTAATGATGAGCGTAGTAGTAATAGGTTTTTACCCTTTTATCTGGCACCAAAACTGACACCTTTATACAAGGGATCATTTCTAGATTTGAAGCTTTCGTGACTGCAAGGATCCATACTCTTTGGTTCTATTCGGTAAAGTCACGTTGTTTTGTTTTTTTACCTACGTGTCTTTAACGAATAGAACCAAAGAACAAGGGATCATGTTTGCAATAACCACAACACAAGCAGTCAAAATGCAAACGATGATCGTCGATCATCTGGTCCAACACCAATGGAGACTAGGCTCTAAGAAAAGCCGTCTCGGGTGTGGACCAATCAATTTCAAGGACAGTGCATATCATTATCAGAGTTGTCTCTTTTTGTTTGCATTTTGACTGCTTGTGTTGTGGTTATTGCAAACATGATCCCTTGATCTTCTTTGGTTCTTTCGGTAAAGTCACGTAGAATGAGAATGTCCTCCAGACAGTCTCGTCCCTTCACCTGATGAAGGCCGCTTGTGTTGTGGCCGAAACGTCGTGAGAATATTATTGTTTTTTATTTTATCAATTTATTATTTTATTCTCATTCTACGTGACTTTACCGAAAGAACCAAAGAAGATGATCCCTTGTATAAAGGTGTCAGTTTTGGTGCCAGATAAAGGGGTAAAAACCTATTACTATATCTTGCTACTGGCAAAGGAGGTCTCGTAATGTAAATGATGAGCGTGTTTATGATTCACGTGGGGCGGAAACCGAAGAGTGCCTGGAGAAACCCCACGTGCAGAAGAGGGGGGGGGGGGGTTCACACTCTGTACAGATGGGAACAGATGGAGATACACACTCTGCACAGATGGGAACAGATGGAGATTCGTCCTCCCTTTGCTGTACCACCCTCTAGTGGCGAGCCGCCGGGGTATGGCACGGCCTCGACGCCCACGGGAAGGGAGTTTCACGGCATTCGTGTAATCCACCAACCCTGAAAAGCATCGATTTCAAAACAATAACAATCGAGCAATCCAATGTACGTTACGGGTTTTGTTCTGTTTTTTTTACTTAGTTCACAGTGGCTTGTGCATCCACAGCCTTCGTCTCAGAGCTTTGGCTGTATACGCCGTGGGGCACCGATTTTTAATGAAAACATAAACTGGTTTGTTTTCACGACTCAGGGGTAATCAAACACGTCACAGGTTGTGCCCATCGTTATTGCCCAATGTTAGCTCATCCTTGTGCGAGTTGCAAAGACAAAGATTCCCCGTATAGCCCTAACAGACTCGGGGCAAGTGCAGTTAGCAAGCACCTATGAAGGCCAGCACGGTACACAAAGGGGTAGGTGGCCAGCACCACGCCCGACCGCCTTTGTCACACCAGGTACTCATTCCAGGCCGACATAGGGAGGCCCAGGACCAGTTCAGATAATCGTCACTGGTGTTCGTGGCCATGACTACTGGATATCTGTGAAAAAGAGCTTTATAGCTCATCGGATTCCTCCAGTATAAATGCATAGTCTGACGATTCTGACTGAACTCCGATCACCAGGTTCGTAGAGCATCACCACGACAACTATTCTAACAGCCCCCCATCCACCCCAAAACATGCGCGCACACACACACACTGTCGTACACCGCAGTGCGGCCAGACCTTCACTTGGAAGTGCTGTTAGCGAGCCTGAATGGCGCATGAGGACGTAGGTGTGGCTTGACAGCACACCCGATAGCATTTTCTCTTCACCCACCCCCGTGTCAACCCAATGGGAGGCCTAAGACAGGGCCACAGATATCACTCGCCACTGAACTCTGGCACAGGGACACACGTCAGCATGAGGCTTGTAACAGGGTGCGCATCACCAATAGCCAAACTTGATAGGTTCAAAGAAAATAACAAAAAAGAACAAAAGAAAACTTCGACGTTCCGATCGCAACACATAGCGGTCATCTTCGGGAAGACAAACAAAAAGACGACCGCTTGTGTTGTGATCGAAAAGTCGTAGTTTTTAAATTATTATTATGATTTGTTATTTTCTTTGAACCTATCTACGTGACTTTACCGAAAGACCCAAGAATATGAATAGCCAAACTCACCAGCAATGCGTCCCGATTTCATCGGAACTCGGAAGCTAAGTAGGCTCGAACTTGGATTCGTGCTTGCATGGGTCGGCCAACATGAATGGAACGGGTTGTCATAGGCTGCTGTGTTAGAGAAACTTGAGTAGAATCCATTGTTGTACTGTGTTATGCTGTAACGTCTGTGCACCCCCACTTTCAACAAACCCACACTGATCAGCATACGACAACCAACCATGCGTGGGAGAGCTTTAATCCAGCGGTAGATTAACAGAGGGCTGCACATTATTTAATGCATTTTAAAATATATAAATAGTCACAAATTTGTATATACGTCACTACATGTGTACCCAGTAAGCGTGTAATGTTGGGCTAAGCATTGGGTTAACGTTGGGCAAGCATTGGATTAACGTTGGGCAAACATTGAGTTAACGTTGGGCAAACATTGAATTAACGTTGGGAAAACATTGTATTAACGTTGGGAAAACATTGGGTTAACGTTGGGCAAACATTGGGTTAACGTTGGAAAAACATTGGGTTAACGTTGGGAAAACATTGGGTTAACGTTGGAAAAACATTGGGTTAACGTTGGGAAAACATTGGGTTAACGTTGGGAAAACATTGGGTTAACGTTGGGCAAACATTAAGTTAACGTTGGGCACATTGGGTTAACGTTGGGCAAACATTGGATTAACGTTGGGCAAACATTGGATTAACGTTGGGCAAACATTGAGTTAACGTTGGGCAAACATTGGGTTAACGTTGGGAAAACATTGGGTTAACGTTGGACAAACATTGGGTTAACGTTGGGAAAACGTTGGGTTAACGTTGGGTCAACGTCGGTGCAATGGTTCCAACCACATGCCAACGTTGGCCCAACGTTGCACGATAAAATGTCGGGTTGCGCGTCGCGACGTCATTGCCGAACAACACGTAGCCTGACACCGCGGCGGTGAGAGAGGTTTTACATTTCGTTGTTTGTGTTTAATGTGGCGGTGTACTTGACCGTGCGTCTACTCCCCCCCCCCCTGCTCTCATCGCACCCTGCATTCCCCGTGCCAGCTCCTCGCACACCTGGGCCAGGCCCGGGCCCGCAGGGAGTGGAACGCGCCGCCCATCGCCGTAACCGAGGGGCCCACGGGCCCCTACCCCAAATACCTCACCTCGGTATGCACGCACACACACACACGCCATATATATCTCACCTCGGTACGCACGCACACACACACACGCCATATATATCTCACCTCGGTACGCACGCACACACACACGCCATATATATCTCACCTCGGTACGCACACACACACGCCATATATACCTCACCTCGGTAGTCACAGACACACACACACACACGCCATATATATCTCACCTCGGTATGCACGCACACACACACACACGCCATATATATCTCACCTTGGTACGCACGCACACACACACACCAAATACCTCACCTCGGTAGTCACAGACACACACACATGCCACATATACCTCGCCTCAGTACACACGCACACATGCACACATGCCATATATATCTCATCTCGGCACAAACACATGCCAAATACCTTGCCTACGCACACAATGTATACCCTCGGTACGCACACAAACACACCATAAACCATACACTGTGGCACGCCTGGCCGTAGCAGAGCACACCACAGCACACAAACACTGTACACGCCATACACACCTCGTGACACCGCAACAACACCACACAAGCACGTCACCTCTGCACGGAACACAACAGTGTTCCTTACCACCTGATACACCACACCACTACTTGCACCTCGCTCTACATTGACCATCAGTGTCTCCCCTGCCACCAGTAGTGGATGAAAGCGGGGGGGGGGGGGGGGGCTGGGGCAATGCCTCCTTCCATCCCCTCTTTCTAGATGTGCCTCTGGTAACTGCCCTGTGAATCTTCCACTGAATTTGGGGGGGGGGTGGGGGAGAGGCTCATGTTGGCCGTTGGAACAACGTTGGGACGAACGTTGGAACGACGTTGGATGAACGTCGAATGAACGTCGGTACAACATTCGACGAACATTTCCAACCACGTCAGGTGCCAACGCTGGCTCAACATTGTGTATTTACCGGCACTGCTCTTAATTATAGGGGGCAGGGGCCCTTCAATGCTTTCCCCCATATAATCTCCTCTGCCCCCCCACTTCTGCACCGCCAGGTGATCACGGACAATGAGAAGCTGATGAAGGTGACGTACCGCATCTCGGGCGAGGGCACCGACCTCGAGCCGCGCAACTGCTTCTCCATCGACGAGGTCACGGGGAAGATCTTCCAGAACAAGGAGCTGGACCGCGAGGAGCGGTGGTCCTATAAGGTGCGGGCTTCTAGCGCCATGGACAGCCGTGTCCACATAGGCGTCACCCATAGGTTTCCCCACAGGTGTGCCCATAGGTGTCGCCATAGGTTCCTGTTGGCATTGTCAGCTAGAGCAGGAGTAGCGGTATCGGTTGCGGCAACATGAGGGTTATTTGTGAAATCATTCATCATCATCATCGGCAGCATCACCACCAGCAGCGGTAGTTGCACCACCATCACGATCAGCAGTGCGCGCGTTGCGACGATGATGATGTCCTTGTCCTCGCCGCCCCGCGCCCGCCCTGTCACCACGCACAGCTCAATGTGCAGGCGTACGACGACAAAGGCCAGGCGCTGGAGCAGCCCCTCGAGTTCGTCATCGTGGTGAAGGACATCAACGATAACGCGCCCGAGTTCTCGTCGTCCAACATCAAGGGGTCGGTGCAGGAAGGCGTTCCCGTCGGCGCCTTCGTCATGCAGATATCCGGCACCGACAGGGACCAGGCCGGCACGGACGCGAGCGCCATCGCCTACCGCATCGTGTCTCAGAGCCCCGCCAACGCCTTCACCGTTGACCGCAAGACCGGAGTGGTGCGCACCACCAGCTTGCTGGACCGCGAGGTGAGGGGGGGGGGGGCGCTGCCCATCGCACGCGCGGAGGCCGGGGTTTCAGGAGTCGATCGGTCAAATGGCACCGGGCTGTAAGGCGTCGAAGTGGCTGCCTTGCCAGAGAATGGCTGGTACAGCAAGCGGAGGCGAGATGTTAACTGCCATGCCTGGTATACAGGAGGTCGTGGGTTCGATCCCGAACCCTGATGCCTGTATATTTGGAGTTTGCGTGTCTCTCTCCCTGTGGTCGCGTGGATTTTTCTCTGGATCCTCCGGTTTTTCCCTCCACATTTAGAAACACAGTTAAGAGTTTTTGGTTGCTCTACATTTACACGCGATAAGCCACTTCGTTAAGCTATCATTAATGACCAGTTCACTCAGTGGGCCTTACCTGGTAAAATGAAAAAAAAGTTTAGTTTTTAGTTTAGTTATTATCGCCATAATTATTGCACTTGTTTACACAGAAAAGCCTCGCTGAGTCTCAAGCCTTCGTGTTATTTTCGAGGGGGAGCGATGCTGCCACGCGTAACCCCAACCGAGAAATTTGTGGATACATTTTCATATCTCGACCACGGCCCGGGAAACACAATGACCTACGCTGGCAAATGACATCACAGGATCTTTAACGTCCACCGTGAAGCAGATGGCATGTAATCTCGTGGCAAATGCCTCTGCAGTAATCACCAGGAATAACAAGGGCGGCTGACTAATTTGCAAATACATTTTCAGCATTGGGATGTTCGGCCCAATACCAGTTGTGTTGTGTATGTTTCTATTTATTATTTTTGGATTCTTTTCCTTCTGTATGCGGATTGCACATGGTGGTCTTCTCCGGGTACTCTGGTTTTCCTCCCACATGTATAGACGACACTCTTTAGAGTTGGCCACATATTTCTATATAGGACCATGGAGCTTAGGAACGTTTTGTGTCCGGTACTGGCTGTCTTCTCCACTTGTCTGTGGTTTCCCGCACCTCTGAAATCATTTTTTCTCTCAACTGAATGAAAACTGCGTGCATTGCACATTCTAAATTACAGACAAACGAGTTAGGCTCCAGAGGTCTGTTGTAAGTCGATTTGTTCTTAAGTCCAACTTTACTCCTGCGTCTCTTAATCCGGAGACTATGGCCACTGGTGACCGCCGGGGGGATGTCTTCTTGGCAGACGGTGACCTCGTACAGCTTGGTGGTGGAGGCGTCCGACAATAACGGCGACGGCTCGGGGTTGTCCAGCACGACGGCCGTCACGATCGCCGTGGGGGACATCAACGACAACCCGCCCATCTTCTCCGAGAACATGGTAAGGGGCGGCGGCAGTGTCGCCTGACGGGAGGCCCAGCAAAAGCCGACGAGCTGAGCGTGGGCGCTGCGGTGGCAAGGAGATGTTAACTCCTTCGCCTGGTACGCAGGAGGTCGTGGGTTCAATCCAGACCCTGACGCCTGCTGTATATTTGGAATTTGCAAGTTTCCCTCCCCATGGTCGCATGGAATTGTCTCAGAGTCCTCCATTTTTTCCCTCCACATTTATAAAAATGTATTTAGAGTATTTGAGCAATAATTTGTGGCCAGGTCTCTTCAAAAGATCTCTATAGCTCAGTGGGCCTCGCCTGGTAAAGTTAAACAATGATTTAGTTTAGTTTTAGTCCAGTGTGGTGGTTGAACAGCGCGGATGAGATAAGCGAGTCAGTCAGTCTGGTACACTGAGTCTTCACTATGGGTAGAGGGATGGCCGAGTGACGAGGAGGCGACTGAGCGACTGGAGTGGATCGGCGAGTGCTGGAATCATCCTTCAATCGACCCGAGGTGGTAATCAAACTGTGGCAACAAAGCATTTATTTAGTCAGTAAAAATGAAGGATCTGAATGTTCAAATTCTTCAGTCGTGTAGATTGCTTGACAAGTCTCTAGGATGAGAGTGCCCTTCATAGTAGGAACGTGATGGCAAGCTACTGTCGGGCGTCTCACCACGTCTCTTTCTGTGCATGCGCCACAGTTCACCGGCAAGGTGGAGGAAAACAAGAAGGATGTGGTGATCGGCCGCGTGAAGGTGACGGATGCCGACCTGGTGAACACGCCAGCGTGGCGCGCGCGCTACTTCATCGTCAGCGGCAACGAGGCCGGCAACTTCGCCATTGAGACAGACCCCGTCACCAACGAGGGCATCGTCAAGCTCATCAAGGTACCGCCACACGACAGTGTCCCACGGGGTCCTCGCCGCTCGCTCGCCTGCACGGCCAACGTCCTCTACGTCCCTGCGTCTCCACATCCCCCGCGCCTCCACGCCCCTGTGTCCCCGTGTTCCCCGTGACCCCACGCTCACCTGTCCCCGTATTTCCATGCCACCATGTCCCTGTGCCACTATGGCTCCGATATTCCCTATGCCACCCTGACCCCCATGCTCCCATGCCCTCCGTGTCCCCGTCCGTAACTCCTATATCCCCCATGGCCCCGTATCGTCATTCCCCCCACGTGTCCATGTGTTCCCTGACCGACCCTGCGCGTCCCTCCCTCGCCGATCCCCCCCCCCCCCGCAGCCCTTGGACTACGAGATGACGTCATCGCAGTCGCTGTCGATCCGCGTAGAGAACGAGATTGCGCTCGTTAGCGGCAGCAGCTCCTCCAGCTCCATGAGCATCTCGGGGGGTGGCGGCGGTGGTGGCGGCGGTGGTGGCGGCGGTGGTGGCGGCGGAGGTGGTGGCGGCGGCAGCAGCAGCAGCCACAACTCCATGTCCATGTTCTTGGTGGACGTGCTGGACGTGGACGAGCGGCCCGTGTTCGCGCCCAACATGATCCGCGTGGACCGGCTCGAGGGCCAGGCCACAGGGCAGAGCCTCGCCAAGTTCAAGGCATCGGCACCGACCTCCGTGCCCGGGGGTGCCTCCCACGTCATGCGGTGAGCCACAAACCTATCCCACTCGGTAGAGAGCGGGAGATAGAGGGTGAGGGTGAGGAGAGGTAGAGGGTGGATAGATAGAGAGAGGGAGAGATAGATAGATATATATAGAGAGCTTGGAGATAGAATGGAGTTGGAGAGAAGAAATTGGAGAAAATATCTCAGCAAGATCAGAGTTCAAGAATGGAGAGATGGAGGTACAACGAGCGTGTGCGCAGATAGGGTTGGGATACCTTGCAAGGAGATACAAAGATAGACCGACAGAGATAAGACACATACATAGAGAGAGAAACACGCATAGCTAGAAGTACAGAGAGATAGATCTGTGTGTGGTGAGGTAGGGTTAAAGATATACAGATAGACAGAGATAGATCTGTGTATGGATAAACATAGATCAATCAATTTTATGGAGAGATACAGACCGACAGATATAAAATAGACGGATGAATGGACGGACGTCGGGCGACACAATGAGATGGACGCATAGATTGGCGATTGTACAGAGTGTACGTTCGTGAACTGGGGCCGCGTGTTCACCCATCCGTGCTGCCGTCCTATGCGCGTGGCCCCGTAGGTACGGCAAGCTGAACGACCCGGCTAATTGGCTGGAGATCGACCCGGTGACGGGAGACATCCGCACGCGGGCGCCGCTCGACCGCGAATCACCCCACGTGGTGAACAACACCTACACGGCGACCTTCTCCGTCGTGGACGAGAGTAAGGGACTGCCGGGACGCTCGCGACCTCACCGTGTTGCTGGGGCGACGTTGTAGATGGTTCCCGTGGGATCGGAGATTTTGGGTCGCGTTACCGTGGGCAGGTCGATGTTAGCTGGGTTACCGTGAGAACGGTGGTGTTGTTTGGGTTACCGTGGGAATGGTGATATAATTCAGGTTACCGGAGTAGGAATGGCAATGTCACCTGGGTGATGTTAACTGGGTTACGGTGAGAACAGTAGATGTTGGTTGGGTTGCCATGGGAACAGTGATGATCCCCGAGCAACATTACTCCGATAAATAAGTTTCCCCTAGGTGATGGTACCCAGGTTGTCATGGAAATTGTAGTTATCACCTTGACACAGTTACGTCGGTTCCCATTGAAATATTGATGTTATCTGGGTCACCGTGGAAACGGCTGTGTAACCCGGACAATGATATCTAAGTTCTGAGAGTGGAAACGGTGATATTACCCAAATGATGTGACCTGGATTCTATGAGAACAGTGACGATGACGATGATCATTGCAAAATGGTCAAGAGACAAACACTGACGTTGCTGCTTATGAAGGTCCAATTTCCATGACGATCCGAATTCGGGTCAATCCCTCATACGGATGAGCCTCTACGCCGGCCCCTGACCTCTTGAGCTCTCGGGCGATCAAACAAGCTAAACGTGAAAACTCGACGGCGAGAGGCCCGACGCGGTCGGCGGTGCTGACGTCTTCCTCTTCCGCCCGCCGTTGTCCCCAGCGTCTCCGTCGGGCACGAACACGGGGACGATCGTCATCAAACTCGACGACAACAACGACAACGCACCGGACGTGGTGACGCGCAACGTGAGCGTGTGCGAGACGGGGCCCGACTACGTCACGGTGACGGCCAGCGACCCCGACACGGATATCAACGGCAAGCCCTTCACCTTCGAGCTGCCCGCCGACTCCGCGTGGACCGTCTCCGAGACCGACGGTTAGCGGCGACGTGATGGGCGAGGCGATGGTGGTGGTGGCGGCGGCGGCGGCGTCGGTGGTGGTGGCGGCGGGGAGGCGGAGGGACCCATGAGGGAGAAACATTGGCAGACACAGGCAGATGCAGGGGGAGGTAGAGGGAGGCATGGAGAGACAAGGGAGACGCAGGGACATGGGGAATGCATGGGGAGACGCGTGCATGGGGAGCGGTGGCGCAATGGATCACATACTGTGCTACAAACCAAGCGACCTGAGTTCGATTCCCGCTCACGGCCAAAACCGGTGGCGATTATCTGAACCAGTCCTGGGCCTCCCCTAGGTCGACTCGGCCTCAAATTAGTCCCTGGTGCAGTGTGTAAACATCGCCACTTGGGAGACAAAGGCGGCCGAGCTTGCTGCTGGCCACCCACCCCCTCGTGTGCAGTGCTCTCTATGTATGCATGTTGAACTTATTTTGCACTGTATGTAGCCAACCGTGCTAATCGGAGGTGCGGGGGAAGGACAACAGACTAAACACAAAAATAAGTTCTAAACAAATGACCTCTAAATCTAGATTTAAAAGTGGATCACTCCAGTGGCTTCCTAATATCGCTAACAGCACTTGCCCTAATGGTTTGCTAAGGCTATATGGGGGATCTCTGTATTTGTTTTGTGTGTGTGTGTGTGTGCTCGCTAACAGCACTTGCCTCAGCAGTCTTATCAATCGGCTAGACCGGGCGGGGGGAATCTTCGCCGTCGTGCGTGCGAGACCAACCTCGCGCACGTGTCTTGTGACCGCCGTCTCCCCCCTCGCGCAGGCACCTCCGCCGTCCTCAAATACCGCTCCCAGCGCATCCCCCGCGGCGTGCACGCCGTGCCGCTCATGGTACGCGACCGGCTGGGCCTGGGCGAGGTGCGCAACGTCACCGTGTCGTCGTGCCCCTGCGAGCCGGGGTCCTCCGAGCCCTCCTGCGAGGCCGTCGGGGTCGCGGGGTCGCGCGCGGGGGGGCTCTCCGACGGGGCCCTGGCAGGGATCCTCGCGGGGATCCTGGGCTTCCTCATGCTCGGTACGTGGGGGGCGGACCCCCCCCCCCCCCACTAATGGGGTCCAGAATGTGGGCATGGCACTAGCGGAGAGGGGAAGTGGACCCCCGTGGTAATGATGTTTACGCCGTTTGTGCCGCATACCGATTATCAGCAGAGGAAGACAACCTGACGATGCAGGCAGTGATGAGTAGGGAATTGGAACTATTTTGACACATATGTAGGATGGACAACAACAGGATATTAAAAGTTTGTTGTTGTTCGGAAAAATGGAAGGAACTGGAAAGAGAGGAAGACCGAACAGAGAACGGCTTGACGACATCATAAGAAAGAAAGCTGTGGTCACTACTTGAGCCATATTGGCACAAGACAGAGGAAAGTGGAAACAAATTACCAAATGTGCAGTGGACACCTACGGGCTATCTGCCCATGGATCGTGATGACCGAATATCAAAGTGAATAGCACCGCGTCATTTTAAACGTTTACATTTCTGCAAGAAGTTTACAAAATGGTTGCTTTGAAACTCGGCGTGCGGTAGAAGGGTTCTAAAGTCGACTGCCGTGTCGCACCGAGCTGTAAGCCTGGCTGAGAGAGAATCCACAATCTCTCACTTGGCTTGTCGAGAACAAGAAAAACAAGCAGCATTGCCATAATCCGTGACAGGAATTTGCCCAAATGTGCGAGTGTATTTGTGTCGGTGTCTGCATTTCTCCGCGTGTCTCTGTCTCGGTATTTGTCTGTGAGTGTATTCATATCTGTGTGTGTTTGTGTTTCCGAATGTTTCCGTGTGTGTGTCTCCATTTATCTGTCTCTGTGTCTCGTATATGTCTTCGTGTCTGTGTGTCTCCAAGTGTGTGTTGTGTGTGTATTACCGTATCTTCGTGTGTCAAGATGTCCGTGAGTATTCGTGTCTGTCTCCATGTCTGTTTGCCCAATTACATCATCACCCTTGTGAGCTGCACGCTTAACACCTGCATACAACGGTAGGCTCCGCTGATTACCCACACCTTTGTTGTTAACATTACTTCTTGTCCACAACCGCCACTGTCTTTCACACACGGTCTCACTGGGCATGGCTCCCAGAAAATGATCCGGTTACTCGGGTGCTTCGTTGAGATGGGAAAGGTGAAGCTAACTCACGCGGGATGGTGCACACCGCCTGGCGCACATCCGCTGGCACACACCGGTTAGCGCACACCAGCTGACGCACCCCAACTGTGGCACACCGGCTATGGCACACCAACTGTGGCACACCGCCTAGCACACACCGCCTGGCGCACACCAACTGTGGCACACCGGCTGTGGCACACCAACTGTGGCACACCGCCTGGTGCACACCGCCTGGCGCACACCAACTGTGGCACACCGCCTGGTGCACACCGCCTGGCGCACACCAACTGTGGCACACCGGCTGACCTCGTGCCTCGCCCTGCCCTCCAAACGCTTCAGGAATCCTGCTGCTGCTCTGCTGCTGCAAGTTTGGCAAGAAGCAGACCCTCATCGGGAAACTCATGGGGGAGCTTCCCAAGAGCTCCCTGTCGACCTCCACGCGCGGGGAGGAGCAGGACAAGGTGAGCCACGGCCACACGAGTCGGCGAGTTAGCGAATCGTTGGGTCGGGGAGTTAGCGAGCGCCTGTTAAGGTCGGAAATAAAAATAAGGAGACAATACGCCCCCGTCGCATATCATCGGTCCCTCCGTATAATTAAATAAGATATTTTCTACTCATTCCGTCAGCCGCAAAACTATACAATGCGGACTGCGTAAAACTGTGGGACTCATCTATACGAGAGGGTCCTTGCCTATAAACATCTGGCATTTCACCGGAGTTTAGACAAGCAAGCCGAGCTCTCGTGATGAGAGACTGAATGTTACGAACGACCCAGTTTGCTTGTATTTGAAGCCAGAGCTGCTGAAAACCTTGTGGCTGATGTGATAGAAAAAAAAAACACTTTTGGTTTTAAAAAGTATTTTATAGAATGTTGGGATGGTGTTGTTACTTTATATGAGTGTGGCATAGTGGTTAGCACTGCACTGCGCTATGAACCCGACTTCCCAGATTTTATTCTACGACCATGGCTAACATCGATATCAGAGCCGATTATGGGCCTCCCTTAGGTCGACTCGGCCTTGAATGAGACCTGGTGCGGTCTGTAAAAACCTTGGCACTCTTGTGACAAAGGCGGCCGGGCGCGCGTGGTGTTGGCCACACCAGCCCCCTCGAGTGCCTTGAAGGCCTTGCTGGATGCTCGCCAACCACACCAGCCCCAATATTCGATGTAGTCTGCACAGGGGAAGCTTGTCGGTGCACGTGCGTGGGTGAGCGTGCATGTTTGGCACGGCCCGTGTGACCACCACAGCCAAACGGGCTGCGGGCGAGGCAGCTGCCCCCCTTGGTGCCGGGTCACAACGCGGCAACAGAGGTTACCGAACAAACTGAACACGTAGACAACAACAACAACAAAACACACGCGCAAGCAAATAAGCGCGCAGAAACTCACGTGCATATTATGGTGGAGCATTTTGAGTAATACAACAAACAGACCGATTGTTTCATCTAGCCACATACAGGAAAATGTATGAGTTCTTTATTAGTCCATTAAATACAGTGTTATTCAGCAGCATTGGGATATAACAGACATGACCCTGCTGATGAAATCCATGAAGTCAAAACTGATCTATTAGTTTTTCTGTGCAGCCAAACCCTTGCGGATACAACTTCGGTCGATGTTGTTTTATTTTTGCTTGGAGAGTCAGAATCTTGACTTTATTAAAGCCTCTTCATAAAGGTGAGGACCAGGCGGGGTATTCTCTGTCATGCCCACGAGACCCACTTATGGATTAACACAGCGTCACCTGTGGAGGCTGCTCTCCCCCCCTCCCCCTAGCCCCAAGCAACTCAACCAACTGCCCCATTGCTAATCTGTCCACCTGTGTTTCTCTCCTGTCACATACACACACACACACATACACACACATACACACATACACACACACACGAACACACACACACATACATAAACTAATACACGCGCACACAGGCACTGGGCGGGATGCAAGGACACAGCGAGAGCGTTCCGCTCGTCACAAAAAGCTCCGGCAGTGCCAACTTCTCCTCCAGCAAGGTCACCAAGGAAAAGGTGTGAGCTGCTGCCCTGCGAGCCCGGTGACACGAGTTCGATTCGCACTCACGCCCAGTGGCGATTATCTGAACTGGTCCTGGGCCTCCCCTAGGTCCACTCAGTCTCAGATGTGTACCTGGTGCGGTGTGTAAATCTCCGCTTGGGAGACAAAGGCGGCCGGGCGTGGTGCCGGCCACCCACCCCCTCGTGTGCTGCGCCGGCCTTCGTAGGTGCTCGCTAGCAGCACTTGCCCCAACAGTCTGTTAAGGCTACACGGGTAATCTTTGTCTTCGTGAGCGATTCGCTGGTGCGGAGCTATAGTTGTAGTGGTTCGGACACTTCGCCACACACCCGGCGACCCGAGTTCCATCTCCTACTCGGGACCAACATCAGTGACGAATATCTGAACAGGTCTTGGCTTCCGCTAGGTTGTCTCAGTCTTGGATGGGTACCTTGTGTTGTGTATAAAGTTCACAAGTGCGTAGAGAAAGGCAGTCTGACGTGGTGCTTAGCCACACCACTCGCCTCGTGTGTGATGTCGGTCTTCATAGGTATTCGCTTAACAGCACTTGCCCCAGTGGGTTGTTAGAGGCTATATGGGGGATCAGTGTGTGTGTGAGGCTCATGATACCGACTCTTCCCAGCCAGGATTTGTACAACTGTCCATCAGTGCTGGAGCCCAAGCAAGGCTTATTGTTGTGTTTGCTGTTGTTGTTAATCGTTGTTGTATGTTGCTGTTGTTGTTGGTTGACAGCCCCGGTGGTTTAAGAAAGGCTGTCCCAGTGTCCCCCCCAGAACATTGTGAGCAGTGGGTGGGGTTACCTGAGCAGTGGGAGGGGCTACCTGAGCAGTGGGAGGGGCTATCTGAGCAGTATGAGGGGCTATCTGAGCAGTGGGTGGGGCTACCTGAGCAGTAGGAGGGGCTATCTGAGCAGTGGGAGGGGCTACCTGAGCAGTGGGTGGGGCTACCTGAGCAGTGGGAGGGGATATCTGAGCAGTGGGAGGGGCTACCTGAGCAGTAGGAGGGGCTATCTGGGCAGTGGGTGGGGCTACCTGAGCAGTGGGTGAGGCTATCTGGGCAGTGGGAGGGGCTACCTGAGCAGTGGGAGGGGCTACCTGAGCAGTAGGAGGGGCTATCTGGACAGTGAGAGGGGCTACCTGAGCAGTGGGTGGGGCTGGCAGGGCCGAAGAGCAGTGGGTGTGGGTCCATTGTCACACAGGGTGAGGCCACTGCCTGTGTGGGTAGGGCTAGCTGAGTGAACAGATTCGCTGTCGGCTCACCATGCATGGGGGGGGGGGGGGGTCCTGGTTGAGTCTCTCGGGAAATGCATTAGCTTCGCCTGCAGGGCAGCAGCAGGTCTCGCTTACCGGAGTGGCCCTCCGACTTGTTGACGACGTCCCATTCCCACTTCCGCCGGCAGTTCGTGAACCAGTCCGTGACGGAGAGCAAGTTCGGGCTCAACCAGGGCCGGTCGTTCGCCAAAGGCGCCGGAGCGGCAGGGGCAGCCGCAGGGGCAGCCGCAGGGGCAGCCGCAGGGGCAGCCCTCGGGGCGGGCTTGGGGGCAGGCATGGGGGCCGGAGCGGGCGGAGGGGCCGGAGCGATGAGAGGCGGTGCTTACGTGGAGAGCAGTGCGGCTGGAAACATGACCAATGGACACATGGTGAGCGCTCCGTCGTCGTCGTGAAGATCAGAATCAGATTTAAAAACAAAATTTATCCTGAAGAAATCCGATGAGCTGCGAAGCTCATCTTTTTTTCACGGATGCCCAGTAGGGGGGCGGGGCAAAAAGTTACAACAATAAACAATATTAAAAAAAAACCTGATAGGACTGCAAAGTATAGGAAAAGATAAGCAAATCACTAAAAATAAATCAACTTTAACTATACTCTTTATATTTTACCAGGTAAGGCTCACTGAGCTGTCAGTTCTTTTTCAGAAGTGACCTGGCCACAAATGGTTGCTCAACAAAGTGACTTATCATGTGGACATTTCTTGCAGGAAAATAATCTAAAATGTATTTTATTAATGAGTCATCTCGAACAGTGAACCCATCAGCAGCACTCGTCACCACCATTATTCTTGCCTTCATTATCTCTGTAATCATTGCCTTCATCATCATATAAGTATATTGGTTATTTGGATGTTTGATCATGTGGTTGAGTGTTTGGCTGTTTTGAGTGGCTGATTGAGCAATCGAGTGTTTGAGTAGTTGGTTAAGTGGGTGACTGGGTATTTGGTTGTGTGTTTGAGCGGTTAGTTGATTGAGTAGTAGTTGAGTGGTTGGTTGAGTGATGGGTTCATTGAGCGGGTAGTTGAGTGGGTTTTGTATAGTGAGTGGTAGTTTGCCAGGTATTGTTGGGGAGTCACATGATGTGGGGATTGCGTCATTGCATTGTGGCATGATGTCATAGCATGGCATGACATCATTGCTCTTTGGGCATGGCTTTTTAACTTGGCTTTTGAACGTGGATGCTGTCATTATTCATTGAATCTACAACAGGTTTGATTAACACATTTCTCGCTCCCCCTTCGCCCTGTGTGTCTCTTCCAGGGCGCCTCCCACAGCTCCGTATCAGACACTGAGATGGACGGCTCGGGCTACATGGGCAATGCGGTATGGCATGACACAGCCAATCATCATCATAAGCATCATCATCCTCATATTCATATTTCATCAATGTTGTCGTCATCGTAAATACGCGTAAATTGTCATCATCATACACGAATTATCGTTCACGATCATTGTCAATCACACAGGTTCAACAGCAATAACGGCAGCATCAACCTCTAGCAAAACATATCCCAATTGCCACAATTTTCTTATGACCGGGACCGGTTTTTTTGCCAAAAATTGGTGGAAAGTGGTTTCCATCATCGTCACCATCCACCAAATTATTCAATGTGGGATTATGCGTATCACTCATCGTCACCCCTTACTGCGAACACTATGGCAGGGCCCTCCTGTAAAAGTCAAGACAATCAACATTTGACTTTTTCTAGCAAGAACAAACGTAACCAAAGAATTAAGCTCATTATGTATCCGCCGCCGAATGAAAGTTTTGGCAAGGCATCTCCATCCCCGACTCTTGCGACGCAACAATCCGTCGGCGAGCTTGTGCCCACGAGCCCAGACATTTATGAAATACTGGACATCTGTGAAAAAGAGCTGCATAGCTCATTGGATTCCTGCAGGAAAAATAAAGATTCTGATTCTGAGCCCATCCCATCGCACCGCGCGCTACGTGGGACGTCCTCTCGGACGCACTCCCTCCTTTGGCTGCCACTCTGTAGTTAGCCTCGGCCATTACACCTGTGGCCTTAACCCTTTCCCGTTCCCAGACGTTCGCAAGTTGCAGCGTGGGGGTCCCGTTCGCCGGTGAATCTCAGAACACGCAAGCAGTTAGCATGCATTTTATTTAGAGAGGCGTATCTCCAACTTTTTTTAAGACAGTGTACTCACCGCAGAGAACCGTAGCGACACGACCGCACTCTATGATAGCTGACGCCAAACTGTGTCACGCCCCCCCGCCTGGCCTTATGGAGCCGCAGTACCCATAAAGTTATTTTAGTTTAGTTTTTCTTCTGATTCCGTTCCAATGACGTGCACATACATCATCGGAATAGGAAGGGGTTAATAGGTGCTCGCTAACTGTGACTCGCTCCAGCGTTGCTACACAGGCTGACCGTTGTCTCTGTGTGTTGTCTGTACGCGCGCAGGGCGGCGGTGGCGGGAGGCCAATCACCACGCTCGCACGTAGATCTTGCGTCAACGGCGGTATAGACGTAAGTTTCTGACCTTGGCCTCTCGCCTGCTTTGCCGGTGGTCGTCGTCAATGACCATTGTTGGCCGTGATCTGTCCACTGCTAAATGAATGAAGTCCTCCTTGAGCAATGTCTCACGGTCGTGCAGCACCTCAACGGAGTGGGGGGGGGGGGGGGGGGGGGGGGGACGTACTCTCGCGAGCGCCTTCTGTCACTTGACTGCCACTCTGTCGTTAATATCGCCCACCGGTCATCGTCTCTTCTAGCGACGTGTCCTGCTCAAGAGACGATGATGACGGCGAAGAATATAAGTAATACAATAACAATGATGCCGAGTACAATTATTATAATAGGCATGTTAGTTATGATGATAAGAAAGGTGATTTTATGATAATAACATGTTTTATTGCTGCCCATTTTCTCTAACTACAGATGCAGCAGCAGGGTGGCTTTGCAGATTACTTTGGGGAAACCATGCAACACTCGGACATGAACTTAATGGAGAGTGGGGGACAGATGGGCCAGGGCGGAGGAGACACAGCCTACTTCATGACAGAGGTCAGAACTCAATTACCCCTACCCCCAATCCCCGTTCTGTTATCCCAACCTTTCGTCTTTAACCCATGACACCTACGCGACACCCACTTAGCTGTCGTCGTTTATATTGCTTTATGTTTGGTTCGGTGACTGGTTGGTTATTTATGGTTTCTGATTGGTGATTTTTATTTGTTGGTCTATGATTGGTATTTGTCATTCTCTGATTTTTGATTGTCTCAACAATTGCTCGATCATTGGCCGCCCCTCATTGGTTGTCGTTTCGCCATCTCTCGATTGGTTGTTTATATTTGTCGGTCTCCCATTGGTCGTTTGCAGAGCCTCAAGATCCTGGACCAGGATGTTGCTGCTCCGGACACACTGCTCATCTTCAACCAGGAGGGCACCATGGGCGGCTCCCAGTTCTCCCTTGTGTGCCAAGACATGCTGTAACGGCCCGGCTCTCCCTTCTCATGCTGTATCGCCCACCTTCTTTTAAATACTATCACGTCCCAGGTCCCAGCTACATGTACCACAACTCTCCCTCCATGCTAACCCCAGCTCCCTACCGTGCTAGCCCCAGTTTCCCACACCCCGCACCCCCATCCCCCAATGCTAACCCCGAGATCCCATGTACCCCAACCCCTCATGGTTGGCATGGGCCCTGGTGTAAAGAATGAAATGGGGCCCCCTGTCCAATATCCCCTCCTCTTTGGAGCCCAGTGCCTGAGCCCCTCTGGTCTGTGGGCCCCGTTGCAGTTGCACCGCCTGCACACTCCACATCCGCGCTCGGCTCTTCTACCCACGTTGCAAAACTGCAACCCCTTTGCTATTCTGACCGTGGGGTCTCGCTACATGGACCCCCGATCCCAGCACTCGTCGTACGCCGAGATTTTGCACCCCCGCTGGCAACCCCGCGTACCGGACTAGCGGGCTCGGCCCCTGGTGACCACGGCACCCCCACCAGGGCCCTAGCCAAGCAAAGGGACCCCCTCAGCGGGCCCAGGCAGCTCCCTTTCCAGAAGCGAGCGATGCACTTTCACCTGGGCCACCCGGGGATGTCGGCAGGGTTGACACGGCAGAGCGACACCAGCGATTCGGCGGCGACCCTTGGGTAGCTCACTTGTAACGGGCCTTGTGTTAATAAGTTAATTTTTAAATGATAAACATGGTGGGAAATTTTGACCGACGAATAGATAATAGTCTGTTACAAAAAATAAAACAAAAATGACGGTCGTTTCCCTCTGGCCACGGAGGACGGATGGAGGAGAGGGAGGGCGTGAGGTCAGAGCACGATGGGATGCGCCTGCGACCGAGTGCGTCGGTGGAAAGAGTTAGTGGGATCACGCGGAGATCTGCGGAACTCCCGAACGGCGCCGGTGGTCAGGAGATGGCGGAGTATAAAATGGGATGTGAACTCATGTGTGAAAACCTCGTTACCCATCATCCCCTTACATATGTGGAGGGTCTTCTCCGGGCACTGCCGGCTTGCTACAACATGAAACAAAATTATTCCGCAAAGAAGAATTGATCAATCGTCCCAGGCTTTGTGGGTAAATAGATGTCATTATTGCTTATATTATTATTTAAACATTTCATATGCTGAATGATTAAAAAAAAACTTGACGAAGATTTAAATATGCCTTAAACTCGTGGAAGTTGAAGTCAGATTGGACCCAGGATATTCGATTTTTGAAGCCATCGATTTACTCTACTCGGATAACTCGAAAAAAATGTCGCCTCTTATCCACGTGTGCCGCTGGACGGGAGGTGATGGACTTGGCGATGGTGATGGCATTGTTGATCATCAGCCGAGTCCCTTTGGGAGTGGCTTGTTGGGGGTTTCCCGCTTTCAGTAGACGGGATGTGCGGGGCGGTCGACAATTAAAGCCACCCTTGTATAAAGCAGTCGATGGCAATTTTTCAACGCGTTCGGCAATAATGCTGTGGCCCTAAAATAAATATAATAGGCGACGTTTCGGGCAATGACCCTTCTTCATAGCACATTTGAATTTGATGTATGTGATATGAAGGGCCATTGCCCGAAACGTCGCCTATTACATAGTTCTCCTTTCAAGGCCACACGCGATGTTATTGAAGAACGTGTATGAGGTTTTTTGTTGTTGTTTGTTACTTGTGCTTTTTTTTTTACCAATGCCGACGCAGCGATTTACAGCGGATTCAATGACTCGCCACACTCATCCTCCCAGGCTTACATCTGCGTGGGGGATTCAATCAGTGGGAGAGAAATTGTGGGGCGGTGGCAGGAGGCCCTGGGGGGGGGGGGGGGGGGGGGGGTTGGCGATGGGAGGTGCCGGCTGTAAGTGGTCGTCGGTGTTGTGGGAGTGAGTGTGGAGGGCACGATACTCCCGAGTGCCCCTGTGTGTTTGATGGTGCGGGTTGTTGGTACATCTAAGTTATGGGTTTGTTTTACTTGACGTTGGGCGGCCGCTGTTCTCGCTGCTGCTGCTGCCGTTGTTTTGCTGTCGCGGGTGAGAGGTGGGTAACAGCGTCAGATCGCGTGGGAACGCGCAGGAGCCACAACAAACCTGACTCGCCAAAAGGAATCTTGTCGAGTGGGATTGACATTTGAATCATTGTGGGATTCACACTGTAGGTTTTACTCTTGATTACAGTGGGATTCAAGCTGTAACATTCAGACTGGCTGCAGTGGGATTCAGGCTCTGACATTCACACTCATTTCGGTGGGATTCAGGCTGACAATCACGCTGTTGCAGTGGGATTCACACTGATCCATATGGGATACGGACTAGAATGGCGTAAACCCAAAATCTCACGAAAAGCTCAATCCTAAACCCATTTTTGTAGGGCGTTTGAGTCACGCAGCAATCATAGTTTTTTTTTTCAGATGGCCACGGTGTAATATTTTTCATTCACTACATTGTTCAACTTCCCGTTCTTTTCATCGTTCGTTTTTTTTATCTATGGGGAAAGGGCCGCAATTGTACATAGCGTTCAGTGGCGAGGGTTTAATGGGCAGCTAGGTGCCTCGTGCGACTGTTGGTTGATGTTTTCCACAGTTGCCAGCCCTGCCAGATTAAGTGGTGAAAAATAGTTCAAGGTCTAGCCCTGCAACTGCTTGCTTGCACCACTGCTAGAGGCTCTACAGTCTACAAAGAGAAACGTGATGCAATTTTTGCTTTGAAAATCGATATGCGGTTCATAAAGAGTTTAGAAATCGGCAGCTTGCCTCTCAGATCGGTAGGGTTGTCCAAGTGGGACGTTCTCACCTTTTTTTAACGCGTTCCCGTGTTGTCGGTGTGTTATTGCATTTGTCTGCGCTTTCTCGTCGCGTGCGGCTGCGAGCCTCGCGAGATCCCGACGGGATAATATTTTTTATTTGAGTGTCAATAAATCGCGCCTCCCTCTCTCTTTTCGTCACGCCGTACCTGGAGCTGAACCGATCAATGAGCAGAGGCGACGTGCGAGTGGCTCAACGATAGGAAAGGAAGAACAAAATTGTCTGAAAAATAAAATAAAGAACCCTTTTTTATCGTCACACGTTTGAGTTATTTTCCGTTCTAATTGCCGCGAGGTTTTTGTTGTTGAAGATGTTGAATTTTTTTTTGTGGAGCAGTGGTGCAACTGTGGGCGTGCTGCGTTACAAGCCCAGTGTCCCCAGCAGGATTCCTGATCACGGCTAACATCGGTGACGATGTGGAGTGGAAAGGTGTGGTCTCCAAAGAGGGCAATTTTTTTTTTTCAAATGCCATATTTGAAATTTTCATGACCTCAAAATCAGCCCCGGTAAAGATGATGTTTACAATACAGACATACCTCGGGAGTTACATTCCTGTAAAATGCTGCATTCGGCAAAAACCGCGTTCGACAAATAACATACCTTATGGGACAAATAGGATTGCGTTCCTGCGTCCGAAACTATCACCCCCTCACTCTTTGTTCAACTAATTCGACATGATCCACACCCCCTTGTTATTGTACCAAAGGATACCGAGTCGCTGTCCCATTTCCTGCGTGTGTACAATCTTTATTCAACGTCACCTCGACACAAAAAAAAACCCCGTCTCCATTCCTCTTCCCGCCCCCAATGCCCGTGGACACCTGACACTGAATTTCCAGTCCGTCGGTTCGCCTCCAAACACGGTTCGCCTTCGAGGCGTCCACGTGGCTTAAGTGCTCAACGACAGGGACGGCGGCTAAGACGCGTGCAGCGATGCGCGCACGTGCTGAGTGCGTTACATTCAGTGCCGGAACACATTCTCCTGCGGAGGGAGCTGGTGGGAACGTTGGGTTGCTCGGTCAATGGCCAGGGTCAACGGCGGCACCACGTGGTGTATTCCGCAAATATGCCCGACTGTGAGGGCGGGCACAAGCCGGCGTGAGTAGGTTAAACGTTTAGTTTTATAAGGGCACCACGGGGTGACCAGCCTCTCCCCACCCAGCCCCACCCCTCCCACCCACCCCCCCAACCCAGCCCCTCCCCACCCAGCCCCAGCCTCCCCACCCAGCCCCTCCCTCCCCACCCAGCCCCTCCCCACCCTCCCCTCTCCACCCAGCCCCACCCCTCCCATTTTTGTATGGACGATGGACGGACACAATAATCCCCTGTGGGCTGGTGGTGTAACCAGGAGGTTCCTACCAGTATTATCTTAGTAGCAATAGGAGCATATGCTACGGGGCCCGCACTAAATGCTTACAAGCTATCAATCCGGGTCAGTGATTCTGCCCTTGCTCTATTACTATAGTACGCCTTTTGGCGTCCTCTGGTCTAACACCGTTTGAGACTAGGCTCAAAAGAATGCTGTCTCTGGTGTAGACCAATCAGTTTCAAAGACAATGCCACATAGATTATCAGAGTATGTTCTTTGTTCGCATTTTGACCACAAGTATTGTGGTTCATGCAGACATGTCTCCTTGTAAAAAGTTTCAGTTTGGTGTTTTAACAACTTAACACCTGTTTTATTGTCAGATAAAAGGGGAAAAACCTATTATCATATTTTGGTACTGGCAATGAAGGTCCCACAATGATACTATACTACCTTCAACTTTTACGAACGACTGGATGTTCAAGGTTATCGATTTGTCATTATCTGGCTGTATAGCAAATGAAAAAATACAATTACTTTACTATGCAAATTAAACATTTGTGTTTTAAAATGTATGTTTTTTTATTTAATTTAGGGCCCCTTTATAACATATGCTACAGGTCCCGGACTAGCTTCATGCGGCACACACACGCGTTAAAAAACACACACAGGCGTGGCAAAATGAAATCGTCCTCACGGTCGATTCATTCACACCATCGAACGGATGCAGCAGCATTCTCACTGCACTGCTTCTCGACGCGGCGATGAGAGTCTTGGCATCGTCAAATCGCGTCTAGGCGAAACACACACACACACCTCCAGCAGTGACGTGCGGTGAGGTCAATGGCTGGGGAGGCACTGGCTAGTGTCAGAGCCAGATTCACACACTGAGGGGGGCGTGGCCTCGCGGAG